GGAGGGCCGCGCGGGGTGGGGCACGCGGAGCTGGAAACCTAGGCCCCTCGGCTGAGCTGGCCCCGGTGACCCCGCTTCATGCCACTCCCTGCCGGCCCGGGTGGTTCGGCACCTTCCAGGCGCCCTCGGGAGCCCTGAGCTCCGGGCCCGACTGGGACGCCCTCCACCCCCACCCCCCTCCCCGACTGCCGTTCGCTCATGTCGAGGCAGGACAATGGGGGACCTCGCGCGTCGGCGTACCGAGTCAGCCTCGCCAGCAAAGAGAGGGTGCCCGGGGGCAGAGGACGCGGGCCAGTTGCGGGCAACCCTCGCGGGGGTCACGGCCGAACGCCTTGCCCAGACAGACCCCAGAGCCCTGCCATCGAGAGCCTCCCTGGCGTCGCGCTCGGCTCTTTCGCGTCAAAAACAAAAGACTAAGCCGATACCCCCGCCCTGCCTAGAGGAGGGGGCACCGGCTCGTCGCAGAGGGTAACCGAGGAAGACAGCACTCTGGAGGGCATCCGACCGCACAACCAAGCCTTAAAACCCAGCACACTTGTAAAAGTCACCCTGGGCTACATTCCAGACAAGGGTCAAAGCACGAGAATATTTCCAAGTTGCCAAAGTGCCCATTCTTTCTGTGGCTTTATCCCCCCTCACCTGTTGTTCTGGCCAAGTTGAAATTCCAGGTTAGATTAATTCAGCTCCACCCATCTGGCCTGATGGCTTGGCTAGTGCTCACAGCCGCCTTCCACTCACCTGGGTTGCTGGGGAGAAGGGAGAGACTCAACATACACACGCACACTCACACACACAGGCAAGCCCTGGCAGAAAACAGCCGCGGGGCGGACTGGCCGGACCAGTTTGGGTGGTGCTCCGGGAGCCAGGTACCCTGGCCTGCGTCCCGCAGGGCTGAAGCCAGCAACTCAGCCAGAACTGGAAAACGAGCATTGGGCCTGCTATTTAGAAGGGGAAAAAAGTAATTGATCTCAAGCAGCGCTGTCCAGAAAGCCCGGGGCGGTTAGAGACGCCGGGCTTGTCTGGAACTTCCCCATCCCAGTGACAGTGGGCTCAGGTAGCCGGGTTGTGGAGCTGTGGGTGGTGGCTTTGGCTGTGATATCTGCTGGCTACCATGGCCTTTGATTATAGTGGACTGATGAATTCCTGTTGAGGAAAGTTAAGACTAAAATTGAGTCATTTTCGATCACACACAAGAACAGGTCATGGTAGTGTAAATTGCTTTTAATGTTAAATTGAACACCATTTTTTGTGTAATAAAATAAACCTATTAAAGAAAATATGAAAAATGGCGTGATTTTTAATGATCAATGTTTCCTTCTAGCCTTTTCCACTTATTGTTGTGTCCTCACACCGATTGTGCAATATGCTCTTTTTGTCACTTACATATAAACATTTTCCTATTATACAATCTCTAGAAAGGGTGCACATCTGGTCGATAGAACCCTGGTAGTGTAGTGGTTACTCGAGGGGCTTCAATTGGCATGGTTGGCGGTTCAAAACCACCAGCAGCTCCTCTGGCGAAAGACTGGGCTTTCTACTCCCACCAACAGTCTTGGAAACTCACGGGGTCGCTGTGCATCAGCAGTGAGAGGGTTCAGCAGGATAGTGGCTGGCTCTGCCACCGGCTAGCCAGTCGTGAGACCTTGGGCAAGGAAAGTGTTCACATCCAATTGCCAGTTGAGACTTAAGTAGGGTTCAATAAATGGCAACCTCATTAATCACATCCGTTTAAGGTTGGTATTATCAAACCCATTTCACAGATAAGCGCTTGGTGGCTCCGCTAATAAATTGTGCCCAGATGGCATTCCTCCTGTAGTCTGTCTTGGTGAGTGGCCTCGGCAGTTTTCTGTCACTTTACTACTCTTCACCAGCAATCTGTGAGATCCTGTCCCTTCCAAAGGCCTTGTGGCTCAGCTAGCGAGGTGGCTGCTGGCCTCATTTAGCAGTGAAGACTACAAGATTAAGGAACCTGGAGGCCTCCACGTGGCACTGAGGGCAAAAGGCTGGGCTGGAAACCAGATGCGGATCCTCCAGTGAACAGATAAGAGGGTGAAAGCTCACCAAAAAGAATGTGGAGAGTGGGAGGAAAGAGAAGCCAGGCCAGAGCTGCGGGAGCATCCCAGCCTGAGGTACAAACAGACACAAACAGCGGACAAGGGGCCAGCAAAGGAGACAGGAGCAACCAGAGAGGCCTGAGAGAAACCAGGCCCAGGCTCGAGACCTGACCAGTAAGTGTTACCTAGACGGCTGCTCCCTTGCAAACTCACCCTTCAGCAGTCCCATTGCCTGTTCTGGACCTTGTGCCCCCGGGTCCTACCAAATTCCCTCCCAGCATAAACGCCTGTTCTCCAGCGGAGCTTTCTCCAGCTCCACGGACTGCATGGCTCCACCCACCCTCTGCAGGAGTCTGACCGTTGGTTGGGAGGGAACAATTATCTTGGTAGCAGTTAAATTGTTTGCATATTTCGCTCCCGGGTTACTATGAGCTCCTGGACATTTTTGCCTTAGAGACCTCACTCTCAACATCAAGTTCAACTGCCATTGAGTTGCTCTTGACTCAGCCACCCTAGGAGGGCAGGGCGGGGTAGGACTGTCAATCTTTACAGGAGTAAAAAGCCTCATCTTCCATCTGCGGAGCAGCTGGGGGGTCTCAAACCTTGGATTAGCGGTCCAACACGGACCGACAGTGCCACCCGGCCTCCTAGACCTAACTCTAATCATCCTGTGTGGAAAGAAGAAACAGCTCAGTAAAGACCGATCAATTAATATCCCAGCAGCACGAGGACCCAAGGCTTGCAAAATTCTTACCTGTTCAGCTCTTCAGGGGCGCCTCCAGCCCAGACTCCTCCGGTCCTGCTTTCCCGGGGCTCGCTTGCTGTCGGGGTTATTTCCTGACACCCGGCGCTGAGGGGAGGTGGATGTGTAGGTGAGGAGCGAGTCTTGCCTCCCCGCACTCGGTTAGGCACAGTGGTTCTCTTTTAACTAGGTCCCGGGACCAGCAATATCACCATCACCTGGGAACTTGTTAGAAATGCCAGCTTTCTGGCCCTACTCTAGGTCGACAAATTATAAAAACTCAAGTGGGGCCCAGCAGGCCGTTTTCAGCAACCCTTTGGGTGATGCGGGTCCCAAGTTCCAGACCTGAGCGGCCAGGCAGAGGCCCAGGTGAAGGCCCGGGGCGCTTAGAGGAGGGAGGATGCCGGAGGCGCCGTGTATAATAAGCAGGCTTGGCGGGCCACCCCCAGCCGCCGCGGCCGGCCGAACACCTTTCAGACAATTGCTCCCCCGAGGTCAGAACCTGACTGCGCTGCTGCTCCAACGGCTAGAAAGGGAAATCCCCTTGCAGGGGGGGAGGACACTAGAAGGATCCCTGGGGCGGCCCGGGGCGTGGCCCTGGATGAGGATGGCGGTGGGGCGGAGCTGCAGGCCGGTCTTCCAGCTCCAAAGATGAGCTGCCCTTGAGTCGGCCCTGGCGAAGTTAGGGACAGGAAGTGTAATTGGATGGGCACGTAGTGGAATCCACACGACTAGGTATTTGCTGAACTTGAAAATGATCGCATGTGACTAACCTGGACCGAAGTGCTTGACCCCCCTCCTCTTTAGCTAATAAGTAATTTGTTCTGTTGGAAGAATGTGATTGGTCATTGGGGATCTTGTGCAGAAATGTAAATATATACGGGGGTGCACGACCGAGCCTGCTCCGAAGACCGCAGGAAGTCTATTTGATTTCGGAGGGGTTCTTCGTTGGCTTTTGTGCTGGTTACAAATACTGTCTGCTAATATTTGCGCAGGAGCGCCCTCCGTGGTGCAAATAGTTAAGCATGCAAGCTAGCGGATGGTGATGGTCCGAAGTCACCCAGGGGGGTACAGGTTGGGGGGGGGAAGGGAGGGGCTCTCTGCTTCTTAAAAGTGGAAAATTCTATGGAGCAGTTCTCCTGGGAAGCCTGGGGTCACCAGGGGTCGGAAATGACTTCTCAGCAACTCACAAA